ATGATATAGGGAACAGGGAATTATTAGCGATAATCCTGGCTTTGAAAGAGGGGAGACACTTGGTAGAGGGAGCAAAAGTTCCAGTAATGATAATAACAGACCACAACAGTTTGGCCTATATTATTTATTTATTTTTAAAATATTTTACCAGGAAAGATACATTGAGATTTCTCTAGTTTTCAAGTATGTCCTGGGTCCACAAAACATTGCATTGTTACATTAGGGTACAATAAAATACAAAAACAATAATACACAAGGTATACAAAATTTACCATAGAACAGGTAGGAAATATACAAATCACCCATGACATGTGGATTCTGTTTGAGGTATGTAGAAAGGGATCTCTTAAAGGACTCTTGGCTTGGGGAAGATTTTAAAGTGTGCAGGAGGTCTTTCCACAATTGTGGCGCTCTGTAGGAGAAGGAGGATCGGGCCACTTTCTTTTTGTATTGAGGTAGACTAAATAAAGTGCTGGTACTGGATCGGAGGTTATAGGAGGTGGGAAAAGCCGAGGAGAGCGTTTTGCTCAGGTAGGGTGGGAGTTTCCCAGAAAAGCTCTTAAACACAAGGCTGGAAAGATGAAGTGTGAGTCTGGATACCAGTGACAGCCAGTTTAGTTCTTTTAGCATGTCACAATGGTGGGTCCTGTAATTACATTGTAGCACAAATCGGCAAAAAGAGTTATACAATGTATTGAGTTTATTAATGTGGGATTGTGGTGCAGATGCATATACTACATCCCCATAATCAATGATTGGCATCAGCATTTGCTGTACATTCTTTTCCTTTACTGTAGAGCTTAGGCAGGGTTTGTTTCTGTACAGGGCACCTAGTTTTGGATAAAGTTTTGATGCAAGTTTTTCTATGTGGAGCCCAAAAGATAGATTGGGGTCTAACAGCATACCCAAGTATTTGAAAGAGTGGACTGCGGTCAGTGTGCCATTTGAATTTGTTTTGATGGATAGGTGGGAAATGTGTAATTTGTGTAATTTAGGTACAGTTTCAAAGATCAGTGTGACAGTTTTGTCAGTGTTTAGGAAGAGTTTGTTTTTTGCGATCCACTTTTCTACCTCCGTAGACTGGTCTTGGAGCACAGCCTCAAGCTGCGGTAGCTCGGATTTGCTCACATAGATCACTGTGTCATCTGCGTATATGTGTACATTTGAGGATTTGCAGACATTAGGCAGATAATAATGTAAATAGTAGGGGGCCGAGAATGGAACCTTGGGGAACACCACACGTGACTGGGAGAGGGAGGGAGTCACTGTCAGATATGGACACATATTGCCAGCGATCTGATACATACGATCGAAACCAGGTTAGCGAACAATTACCAATACCTGAGTTTTTGAGTTTGTACAGTAGAATGTCGTGGTCTACCCTGTCAAAGGCCTTGGCAAAATGAAGGAAAATAGCTCCAGTTAGGTTTCCTTGTCCCATGCCAGTTTGGATGTCATATCAGTGAGGTTAAACATCTCTCGTCCAGACAGGCTAAATGGTCCTTGTTTCTTTCTCATTTTAATTTTATTATCACGCATAGGCCTGGTTCTCGTAATACTAAGACTGATGCCTTATCACGAAATCACTAAACCGACTCAGATCATGACCTAGAGGACAATCCCATCATATCACCAGAACGCGTAGCAGCTACCACTATATTAACCATGTCCTCCTCATTAATGGACAAGGTGCATAATACCAAAACACAGGCTCCTGACAACAAACCTAACGATAAATTGTTTGTGTCACCTACTGAGAGGAGAGAAATACTCTCCTTGTACCATGATACCAAGTCAGCCGGTCATCCAGGAATTTGAAAAACTTTGTCCTTCATATCTAGGCAGTTCTGGTGGCCTTCTATGCATACAGATGTCACTGATTATGTCCAAGCATGTACCGTTTGCGCTATAACCAATACCCCTCGTAAACTACCATGTGGTCTCTTACAGCCACTTCCTGTTCCTGAAAAACCTTGGTCCCACATTGCAATGGTCTTCATAGTTGATCTACCTCCATCCAAGGGGTATATTACCATTTTAAGGGTGGTAGATCGTTTCTCAAAAATGGTCCATTTAATTCCTCTCCGTAAACTTCCTACCTCTGCTGATTTAGCACAGATCTTCATTAAGGAAATATATAGGTTACATGGGTTGCCTCAAGAAATCATATCAGATAGAGGAAGTTTATTTAACGATTTTGTAAGAAGGTTTTGTTCTGAACTTGGGGTTACATTGTTTTTTTCTTCATTATATCACCCCCAGACCAACGGGGCTACAGAAAGGATTAACCAGTCAATAGAGGGCTTTTTGAGGTGTTCCATATCACACAATCATGACAACTGGTACGACCTCTTGCCTTATGCTGAATCCACACATAACAACCTAATTATATTGTTGGAGACTGGATCTGGCTTTCCACTCGCAACATCAGGTTAAAGGTTCCGACCATGAAGATGGCACCCAGGTTCATCAGCCCATATGTTATCTCCAGGAAAATTAATCTGGTGTCTTATGCTTTGACGCTACCTCTGGCATTGCGTATCCCCAACGTTTTTCATGTATCCCTGCTTAAGCCATTGTTGTGCAATCGTTACACCAGGCGCTCATTTCGTCCTTCTCCTGTGTCAGTTGATGGCCGAGATGAATATGAGATACAATTGATTGTGGACTCCAGGTGGTCGCGGGGTGTGTGTCAGTATTTAGTACATTGGAAGGGTTATGGACCGGAGGAGCGTTTGTGGGTTCCTGCCTCCGACATTCATGCGGATCGTTTTCTGCACACTTTTCATGTCCGGTTTCCCGATAAGCCGGTTTTTGGGGAGGGGGTACTGTCACGCCGCCGTCCTGTCAGAGAGCGTCATGGTTCCCGGCGGGCAAGCATCATTGTGGCAGTATCCCCACACACTGAGGGGAATGCCGCTGTTCTCTTACCTGCCTGGTTGCTGCCCGCCAGGCCTGCTCATACCATTTTATTTATATATTTTTAACACTTTGCTATCTTGCTTATTCATTAGATATAATATTTTTAATAAATCAGGCTTATATTTTTAACCTGTCACATAACAACAATAATGAAAGAGACTGCATTGGTGCTATTACTGGAGTAGCAATGTACTAAAATGTGATGTTCAGTGGTGATTGGACTGTACACACTCTGTAAGCACATATGCTTGGTTCCTGTTTCTGCAAATGAATGAGGACATTTTCTATGGATTTAGAGACCTGGAGGAAAGTTTGTCAGGAATGGAATTTTTCTAGAATACAAAACGTTTTATACATTTTTAACAGATGTTAAAGTTATCTACATGTAAGGTGACAATGGTCTGTGATGGCCTTAAAGTTGAACTGTGAATCAGATTTTTCCACAACCCAGTAGTAACACTACTCATCCCAATAAAGACTTTATCGTGGAAGTGTCTGTTCCTCTTTATAAAACTACTTCATGGACAACTGTCACAAAAATGTCTTCATTCCTTGTTTTTAAAATTTTATTATATATAAAATAATGTTTGAATCTGCAGCAGCAGGCATGTTAGGTTGAGGTCTAATATTAGTAGATTCTGATACAACATGGCTGCTTAGAAATAAATATAATATATATATATATTATATTTGGGGGCGGAGTCTGGTTACAGAGCGGATAAAACGTGCATAGCCTGAGCTCCACTGACCGGGACTGATAAACGACAATTAACCCGGGCCGCTTGCTAATCCCGACTGATACCAGCGATCACCCAGACAAGGGGACAACGGTGCATCTAGGAGATACAACGTTTCAGCTATTTCATTACCAGAACGCTCACAATAAGGCTTGTGGCCTACGCAAGCGTGGTCAGAGGAGAGACGTCCGCTCTCCGAGTCCTTCAACTGTCGGTGTGAAACTTGCACCAACCTGTCCCCCCCTCCTCTGGACCGGTGGGGGTCATCCCGGTCTACCCTTGACATACTCCTCAAAAAACTGTCCTGATGCGAGCTCGAGCTGCTGCTATCACTCCTAAAATGGCAGATACTCCTACTCTACAAATGCCTGGCAACGCACAAACTGCAACCACCATTCAAGACATGTTTGAGCCTCTACTCCATAATGTTGATATGCTTTTTGCCATCTTTTGTGCAAAATTGGAGGCCTATGGTACGAAGACACCATGCCAGAACCAGGAGGAAGAACGCAGCAAAGAGCAGCAGGAGGTGAGCGGGCCCCCTCTGGGCGCTACCCCTCGTCAAGCACCTGGAACTGCTCAATTAGGCCCACAGAGGCTAAATACCACTAGGGATATAATAACCCTGCACCTGCCACGGAGGCTGAAGAGCCACCGTTGATGGCAGCAAGTTACTACCAGGAACTTCTGCTGTCCCTTGATTGGGAGAGACTTGACCTCGACTCAGAGAACCCGAGTCTGTGGCCCCACAATACTGGTCTTTTACAAAGCATGGGGCTGGAGGGTTTCCATGCTCAACTTCTGCCTTGCACAACCCATTGACAGACTCCACACATCCCCATGCCGGGGAATAGGCTGGCACTGGACTTTCTGGCCAGGGTCACCTTCAATATTGACATGCCTGCTAACATAGCTAAGAGTGGTTATGTTTTCTTTTCGTCTTGTATTCTTTATTTCCCATAATGATTCTAATAATTTCACTAGACGTCTAGTTCTAACATGTACAATGCAGCTATAATTCAAGGAGTATAGCCTTGGGGGTTACCTTAATTTAAAACCTATGCGTAGTGGCACAAACAAATACTCAAAGAGTTTAAGGTGTCTAGGCGCTTCAGGACACTTATAGGGTGTGTATAGATAAAGGTGTTCCCAATCACCTTACAATAGAACAACAACTCTGGTAATTATAACACTACCACAAATGTATACAACACCCAGTGTAACACTTATAGTGAGAAACATATAAATACTTCCCAGTAGTCACTTTCTGTAGTTACAACATGGCATCTCCCATAGAATCTATAAGAAATAAATGTAACCACACATAGTTAAATCTGTATAAAAACTTACACTACCGCAATATGCAATAAGTCCTTAATATAAAAACACTTTGTATCTGTATTTTATATTAAGAACTTATTGCATATTGCGGTAGTGTAAGTTTTTCCTTTGCACACTGCTTACATATGTCCTGATTTTATTGATTTATACCAATAAATGTTTTTTTCTGGAATTGCTGTGGATCTTCATCTGAAATATCTCCGTAGCCAACCATTGGCACCCTTATGCTGATTGTATAGAGCCTGGCACGGCTCTATATTTGTGAGTGAAATTTTATATTTTATTTCCTTTATATTGTTGTTATACAGATTTCACTATGTGTGGTTACATTTATTTCTTATAGATTCTATGGGAGATGCCATGTTGTAACTACAGAAAGTGACTACTGGGAAGTATTTATATGTTTCTCACTATAAGTGTTACACTGGGTGTTGTATACATTTGTCTTAGTGTTATAATTACCAGAGTTGTTGTTCTATGCATAGTGGAGCATGTTTCACTAGATATCCACGTGACTATAACCTGCAACAGGTGGATTCAATGTCCCTTAAGCCATAGCTAACTGCTAATTACTATCCACCATGTAACTGTGACATTAACTGCACGTCAAGCTTTCTACCTATAACTGATACCATTGTTTTGTAGTAAGCTATTCCCTATCTGCTTAGCATATTACATATCATAAAAAGTGCAGTGTCTCTCATATGACATCATTTAGTTAAACTGCTCACGTTCATTCCCGTACTTATCTGCTGAAATGTCTTCTCGGCCTGTATGAACCACTATGCTTGCAAAACCTATTATCACCAAAAAAATGTGCTGTATTATTATCTGCCCTTTACTGGTTAACTATCTATATTAATTCTATTGCCACTGCTGTTGGGGAAGGACAAGACTGTTTGTTCCTCAGAAGCACAAAAAAAAAAAGTGCTTTCTTTTTTTTTTTAACCTTAATAAACTTAAAACTAATAGTACGAGAAGTGAAAATTTGATTCCATTTATCCTTGATGCTCTCTAATGATAGTACAGTCATGTATGTATAACTATTTGCAGTGTATTCAGAACTAAAGGCTTTGTTCTCATATTAATACACTTAAATAATACTGTAAAGATCAGTGTGTGAAACAAACATATTTTATGTTTCAAGAAAACAAGTTTCCTTTCATCATTCACAACCTGCAATGTATGAATGGATTTAGTTTGTGCTTTGTTGCTACACCGTCTGAGATCACTGTGTCTCTCACCGCACAGTAATATGTGGCAGTATCTTCAGGCTCCGCTCGAGTCTTCTTCAACTCTGTGGACCTCTCATTAGAATTATATGTTGCTAGAAATTTTCTTGCCTCTTTAGGGCCATCAAACCCACTATCAAGAAACTCAAATACCGCATCCAGAGGCTTTTTATACCAGAACATTGTGTTCTTGCTTGTAGTATTCTGCTGACACTGGATACTGAATGGGTCTCCTTCTTTAACATTGACCTGGTGAGGCTGAAATACCTGGCAGTGGGAAAATCCTAAAACTGAGAAAAAGAGCTTAAAAGTAAATAAAATCAGTTTGTGCCCATAATGTGGGTTTTATATTCTATTATGTATCAATATAATTTAATATTTTAATAAAATTATTATGTATATTTTCAGATATATCTATCTATACTAGGATTAACTTAAATACCGCAGCCAGTGACTAGAAAATACAATACTCTATAAATTTACATTTATAGCACGTTTATTATTCATAAAATCTAAAGTTTAGTATATAGTGTTTGTAACTTTCTTCACAATGAAACATATTGTAAAAAACAGCTCACCAAGGGTGAATGAAATGAACAATGTTCCGATCATAGCTGGTCTTTGTTCTTTACAGTTCTCGGTGTTCTGTTTGTCTAATAAGCAAGGGTTGTGCTATTTAAGCACAGCTTCCTGTCACCTGCTCTCAGTGGAGAGACATCAAACAATCATCTTAAATCAGAGCTTTTATAACTATATCCTGCTCAAAACATACAACAATAATGACATGTTCCCCATCAGAAAAGAAAGCTATCTTTGGCTGGTGCACACCACTTGTGCTTCTCTATCTGGTCTGACACTTTTCCAGCAATTCACAACACTGACATTGTAACTCGCCACAATGCTCTGACTCCCTAAAAAACATGAATCAGAAGAGAGTTACATGTGGTCACACTGCACCCATTGGGAGTGCAGACCACAGGTTCCCTTGAGCTTTTAGGGTAGCACTCCGTTATAGCATGTTATAGGGAGATCTTTTGTAAGCCATTTGTATCAAACAAAGGCACCTTTAATGCAATGCATAGTATGAGTGCCATAAGTTGCCAACCCCTACTCTAGAATACACCTCAGTAGTGCCTACTTGTTTATCTTTTGTCTTTTACCAGTGAAAAACACAGTTAACTAAACTGCAAATGTGACCTAGAGGTGCTAAATCCTGAAATAATATTTAACTCAAAATCACATTTGACTCAAAATCACATTCAAAATGTTTACTAAAGACAATTAATTAAAAATATGCCAGTTCAGGTCACTTCGGTGTCTGATAAAAAATAGAAATAAAGCTAAAAAAAATCAGAATTTAATTTGGAATATGGGAAATCTGATATGTACCCAGCACAAAGGCTGCATCAAAATCAGTATTACATTTGTCACAAATACTGTGTGGACCCAGGACACCTAAAAAAACAAGCTCTGAGCAGTATCTGTCTTTTACCTCTCTCATGTGGGGAAAATGAGTGGTTAAACAACATGAGTTACTCAATCTAGGACCTGCGGAAGCACATTAGAGTTACTCAATCTACGGGCTCTTCTCCTTCTGCATCAAATCTAAGGACTGTCTTAGTTCTGCACCCTGTGTTGTGAGATAGAACACATTGGCAGTTGTATGAGAGTTAATGATCTGAACGTGATCACCTACAGTTATAGTTAGATCAGAAGCCAATAGGCACACATTGCCACACAAGATGTAGGAAGCAGGAAGGAGCCAGAGACCACTACCGGCATTAGGGTATACTTTGTGTGGTTGCAGCACAGGCAGTTTCGTACCTACCACGGTCGCAAGGGTCGCAGTTGTGACCGGGCCCCTCACTGCAGGGGGCCTGGCCGCAGCCATGACCCCTGTGACAGTGGGGTGCCTAGATACCACCACCCCTGGGTGCCCTCTTTCACAGGGGGGCCTCAAGAGGTGGCCCACTGGCCACCTAATGGACTCACCCGGTGGGCGACAGAGTTCCTGTCAGATGCGGCGAGGGAGCTGTGATCTCTCTGCTTCCCTGTGCACTGTTTGCTGATGCCGGGAGCCAGAATATGACATCATATTCCGTCTCCCGGCATCAATAGACAGTCCGCGAGGAAGCAGATCAGAGAGAACACAGCTCCCTTGTCACGTCTGACATGAACTCTGCCGCCCGCCACACTGAAGCCCCACTGGACCCCAGCGACAGATCCACGCCAGCTCTCCAGGTAGGGAGGTTGGGTGAACATTTTGCATGAATAATGTGTGTGTCTGAATGTGTGTTTGTCTGTGAGTGTATGAGTGTGTCTGAGTGTGAGTGTGTGTCTGTGAGTGTATGTGTGTGTAAGTGTGTGTGTCTGAATGTGTGTGTGTGTCTGAGTGTATGTCTGAATGTGTGTGTGTGTGTGTGTGTGTCAGTGAGTGTATGTGTGTGTCTGAATGTGTGTGTGTCTGTAAGTCTATGTATGTATGTGTATGTGTGTGTCTGAATGTGTGAGTGTATGTGTGTATGCGTATGTGTGTGTCTGAATGTGTGAGTGTATGTGTGTGTGTGTGTGTGAGTGTATGTGTATGTCTGAGTGTATGTATGACTGTGTGTGTGTGTCTGTATGTGTGTCTGTGAGTGTGTCTCAATGTTTGAGTGTATTGGTGAGTGTGTGTCTGAGTGTATGTGGGTGTGTGTGTGTCTGTGACTGTCTGAGAGTTTGTCTGTGTGTGTGTCTCTACATGTCTGTGTGTGTGTGTGTGTGTATCTATGTGTGTCTGTATGTGTGGGTCTCTGTGTGGATGTGTGTGCGTGTCTGTATGTACCTCACCACCTTCCCCTCTTATAGTCCCTTTTTTTTTCCTCTCACAATTTCAGCTGCCCCACACACAAAAGAAAGTGGCAGCCATCTTGACACTCCTATTATGGAGATGGCGGTGGCCATCTTGGGTCCCCCCCTTAAAGCTACATCACATAAAATTATAATATTTATCTTCTTTTAAAATGCAATATTATTATAAAGTTATTTTTACACTATAATTTATCATTTTATTGTACCTTCTCTGCTTTTTGCTACAAACTAAGTTTTATTCATGTTTTAAGTAATTTACTTTTAGTCACATGACTGGCCTGTTCTAAAGCTATTTAAACAAGATAGGTCTCATAAACTGTAACACTTTGAGAAAGCTTGTTATAGGTGAAACGCGTTAGTGTTTTATAATTTTTTTATACTTTGTTCTTATTTTTTTTTTTTATCTCCAAATAAAAGTTATTATTCATTTTATACCACTTGGAGATTCCAGACCTATCTTTCAAGCTTTTTTTATCCAGAAGACTCACACAGTGATATCCTTGGTGGGGATAATACCACCTAAGCGCTTTGGGATTGAGCAATACCTCCATTTGCGAGTATATCTTGTTTTATTTTTATCCTTATTTTTAACATATAGAGAGCACTATATTCTGTTTTTATTTCTTCTCCTGCATACTGAGGATACCTCCCTGCCAGGCTACGGCACTACCACTAAAAGCACGAAGAACAGCACCAATAAGCACGAGGACACACTACCATATCCATAGACGGGGATTATTCCGTCCATGCGCATAAATCTGGAGCTGAACATAAGCTACAGAAAATTGTAAGTACAACTTTTGTCCTTGTTAAGATATCAGAACTCCTGACATACTACACTATATTACGTTCTCTGTGCTTATTTCACATATTACCTTGGATTTGAGAACAACACCACAGGCGCTGCCTTCCTGCAACTTTTACACATCAACCATATCACTAGAAAGCAGAGACTCTGGTTAGGGGAGTCAAAGCTGCCACATATCCAGAATACAAGCGCTAAAAACTCCACCTCCTCAT